AACAATTACAACGTTTGTCTACCAGCTTACTTGTGCAGACCGTTGAATGATCTCCTACTACCAGTCATAATATACTTTTCATGGGATTAGTTTAGATACTCCATCGTTCAAGTAAGAACACATATTGAGTTAATGATGATTGAAATGGATGACTCTGGGCTGCAACGTTTTCTAAGATGAAAATTTCACAAATTTCCATGCCTCCATCGAACGCAATAAGCAGATCGAGTAAGTCCCGGGGGATTGAAGGAATATGTTTTTTAATTTTCTCCCCTCGGTTGGTTGTACTGCCTATGTTTCAACGGAAACGGTTGCCGGATTGTCTTTTTTTCTCTCTCGATATTCACGAACCACATTCACCTCATACAAAGATAGAAAACTGCAAAGGTATTCATGTGCTTCTCGTTCTCGCAATTCATCAGTTGTGTGCGTCGTACACAAGATCGACACACATTCGTTTTACGATCGCGTGTTGCGTTCTGGTGGGAACGAAACGTGTTCGTTGGTGTGTCTGACAACAACGGGGGGGGGACCACAGTTCGTTGAGTTTCAAAGACGGTCATGAATTTGGGGGGAAACGTTAAGGATTTTCCAAGCACTATATATATATATATACATATAACAGTGGGCTAGTGAAGCGAATTTTGTCTAATTCGAATATAATAATATTTTGAGTGCATATTTTGATTTTTTTCCCTGCATAATTTGGACACCATTTCTAGCGAATCTGTGAAAGCACACTAAATGACAAGGGTTGCGCTGTAAAGAGTCATACAACACACACACACACACACATGATCTCAGTTCCCATGAATACGGCACTGTAGCTGTTTTAAAACCTTTCCTTCTTCTCGCTTAGTGTTCTACTTCGCACTGTGAAACAAACTTTGAGAACAGGGTTGTACACAATCTAATTCGAAAAAATGTGATGCACCAGCAGTGAGATTTTACCCATTCCGAGTAATGCTTGTTTTGTCTATCAAGAGATGGTGTTTACTTCATCCTGCAGTCCCAATGACAAAGTTTTCACCGGGTTTAACTGTATGTATGATTGATTATTTGAAAACATTGTTGGAGGTTAGGTAAATGGGTCAACGGAAGAAGGAAATTCGAGAAAGTTCCGCCAGGGACAAGAAGGATTTTTCCATTTATCCTTGACCTTGAGATGAGTAAATTCAATGAAATGGGGGAAGATACCTTTAACGTGATTATTCTATATCCGTTTTTTTTATAAACAATGGAAGAAGCAAACCTGTTTCTCACATGGATCACCATTCTAACAGAAAACTGGGTTCTAGAAATCGAACGGACAATTGACAGCGAATCGACTCGACTGAATATCATCGCCGCCACCACCATCACCATCATCACCATTAACATTCAAAGAATCCTTCTTCTATAAATGTAATACGTTTCCGCTATCCATCATTTTCTTTTAAACCAATCGCAAAAGACAATGTTAGAAACATTTTCACTTGTTACAGAATGATAAACTACTCGAAGGGAAGTATAATATTTGGGATTTACACAAACTAGAATTTTTCAAATCCACCATGGAACAGAATAATGTGAGCCATCACGTTCCGGTCCTTACACCCACTTCTTCTGAATGCGATTCCCAATCTGTGCGGCAATCTAGTCAACCAAAGCAAACAATTATGTGAGCTGGTACTGTGCTAATATGCCGGTGAAATTCACCGGGGTGAGGTTATGTAAACACGTTCACACGCATCCATTCACCGATGTATCCGGCATCACGAAATCACATTAAATTCCATTCCTGGTTATTGTACCATAGTAGCAGCTAATTTGTAAACAGTTTTATCCAGCTCCTCCTTCCTCCACCCCCTCCACCCATCCCCCAATTCTCGCTTCCAAAACAAATAGCTTTTTGGGTAACTACTCAGCTCAATTTATTCATCCACACAAATACAATATTGGAGATATTTGCGTGATGCGAAGAGTCTACATTCTGGCTAGCCTCGTATGAGGTGAAATTCCAGTTTATTAAATTTTAGTAGATGAAATTTCGTAACCACTGTCCGTGTCAAGAAGTGTTTGTCGTTGGATCACAACATATATCTATGCGAAAATTTCTCTCTACTTTAGTAAGTTTACTGTTTATTGTCACCCATTTTACTGATAAATCAGAACTAAATCTAAAGGAGGTGAGTGGTATGAGTGGGTGGAGTTGTTAGGTTCTCGTGTCATACGTTTCTTGGACTGGGATGGAGGTGGTAATACAAAACTCTAATGCGGAATACAGATGACGGAAGTGTTGTTCACTATGGATTTGATGTGCGAGCGCTTCATCTTCATTGCACGCGTTGAACATTTTGAAAATCAATCCGCAGTCATTTTTTAATCCCCACGATAGCCTATTTATGCAGCCAGAAATTGGATTCTATGTCCAGTTAAAATGTTGGTTCCACGTTTTATATGTTTACGCGAGTGCATTGTGACAGGTGTTCGTAGCGAACATTTTGTGAGCATGCAGCCGCAATAATTCAGTCAAAATCGATACTAAAGTAATCTGTTTATCATTTTCATCGCACTACCAACTTGGGGCAGTTTATTTTGCAGTCACAGCTGGAATAGATTTTTCACTGCGGTCAATTCTGAGTTATGTGATGAATGGTTAAACGTAGGATGCTAACATGTATTCGTGTCTGGTCGCATTTACCCCGTTACGAGGTAACGCCCTCGCTGGTGGTTTTTACGCTGCATAATTATGATAAATGTCAAAATAACTATGTCAATTTCTTATGTACAAAATTGACCCCACACCAGACAGGTAGGTAATCCACCCACGTGATCATTGGTTATCAACTCCGTGTGTTTGTGACGCTCAATCCGTCATGAGTAGACTGTACATTGATCTGCCAATCAATATGCATGCATGCATGTACACATGAATGTGTGGTTGAATGCTGATTGGTTGGGAGTTCATGTATCGATCTGGTCAGACAACGTAGGACAATGCAAACACACGCAGAGTGCTTCGTATGTGCGCGCAGAATGTGATCGGTTTTGACCAGCTGACTGCATCGTTGCATCAAAGTGAACCTGAGCCGTGAACCATTTTCATTAATTCATAATATAAAAAATGTGCTCATGCGACTATACGTACGATGTTTTGGATGAGTGTTATACAACACCGTTTTCACCGAATGTGTTGC